AGATAGTGAAGAATTAATTACAATAGCGGCCACCTTTTCTCATTCTCACTTTCATCATCGAATGAGCCACTTGATGATTCAATATTCATGAGCCAATCACCAACAATGTATGCCTTCCCATTTTTCTTCTTCTTGCCATCTTTTTTTTGTATGGCTTGTTCTTCTTCTTCTCATCATCATCTTCATCACTTGAGTCATCTTTCTTGCCCTTGTACTTCTTCTTGTATTTGTCTTTCTTGGGTTTGGGACATTGATGAGCTAGATGACCAAGTTCTCCACAATTATAGCAATCTATCTCGGAGATAGACTTCCTTCTATTGCTAGTGAAGAATTTCTTTTTCTTGCCATCAAACTTGACACCATTCTTATTGAGCTTCTTGAGCATCTTGGCGGTTCTTCTCAATATGAGAGCAAGGCTTGCATCATCAATCTCATCATCACTTGAGCTATCATGATCAACTCTTGCTTTGCCCCTCTTCTCTTGGCTAGCCTTAAATGCCAAATCTTTCTTCTTGGTGGAAGAAAAGCCATCTTGTCGAGTGATGTGCATGTACATCTCATGTGCATTATCTTCCCCAATATTTGAGTTGGTGTAGCGATAGAAAGATCACCTTGATAAAGCACCGTCACAATATGCCCATATTTGTTAATGGGGAGGACACTCAAGATCTTTCTTACAACATCAGAGGGTTGCATTTGTGTGAGTCCAAGCCCATTGACTTTCTCTACAAGAATATTCAAGCGTGAATATATCTCATTGGCACTTTCTCTAGGAAGCATCTCAAATGAATTTAGCTTTTTTATCACAAGGTGGTAGCGTTCCTCACGCTCACTCTTAGTTCCCTCATGGAGCGCACAAATGTCTGACCATAGGCTGATTCTTTGACACTCCGTCGTGGTGAATCGCCCACAACCACTCACAACTTGACTTGGGTCATCCACAAGCTCCGTCGGATGATCACCAAGTTCCCAATCACCACCGAGCTGTCTAGGTGATGGCGATCACCAAGAGTAACAAGCACAAACTCTCACTTGACCAACACAAGCCTAATGAGAAAGGTGGATACACACTTGCTACTCTCTATGCACTAATGAGGTCTTTAATCTTGGATTCTCATATCTCAATCATCTAGAATGTGTTTCACTTTTGCACCTAGGCTCTTTCTCCCCTTGCACTTCAAATGTGTTTCTCAAGACATGAAATGAATGGGCATGAGACCTCCTCATGGATGAGTGGAGTAAGTATTTTTTTCCGATACCCACTCATTCAAAACATAACGTTTGAGCAGGTTGAGTCCCCTTGATCCACGGGGATCAAGTGCTCTCTGACGATTCTTTGACACTCCGCATTATAATCGCCCACAACCACTCACAACTTGACTTGGGTTAGAAAGAGCTCATTAAGCATTGAATCACCACCGGACTCGACCCGGCGATCACCAAGTAACAAGCTCTCTAGAACAACATCAAGATGTTGACCGGACACTCGCACACAGAGTCCTACTCTATGCACTAATGAGGTCTTTAATCTTGGATTCTCATATCTCAATCACCTCACTAGGCTCTTGCACCCCCTGCACTTCAAATGTGTTTCTCGAAAAAAACTCTGGGCTGGAACCTCTCATGGATGAGTGGAGTAGTTGATATACCCCTCATTCAAAACATAACCTTTGGAGTGTCCGGTGCACTTCCACTCGGCGTCCGATCAGTACCAAACGACTACAAGCATTGATGAAATGAATCGACCGGTCAAGACTCTCTCCCTCCATGTTGACCGGACACCGCACCTGACCCGGTCACTCCACAGGTCAATCATTTGACCCTCCATTCACTTCCAACTCGAAATCCTATGTGAATGAAGTTTACTCCAATTGATCTTAGGGCTATTCTCCGCTTCCTAGTGCTAGGTTTGATAAGTGTGCACCACACCTAACCCACTAGACTCACCTAGGTCAAGCTACTAGTCCATACCTCCCTTAATAGTACGGCTAAAGGAAAACAAAGTCCTAAACTACTCTCTAAGTGTCTTTCCAACACCAAACGATACTTAGAACTAGTCCGTCCTTAACCTTGTCATCCATCCTTTGAAAACTGAAACGATTTCCATCGACAGGGGCATGACAACCATGATTGCCCAATCAATTGCCATTACCATGACATAACTCAAATTGTCTCTGCAAAACACACGTTAGTCATAGTAATTTCGTGTCATCATTAATCACCGAAACCCAACTAGGGGCCTAGATGCTTTTAGATGGCACTCACGGCGACGGAAGAAGAGGCGGGAAAAAAGAAATCAAACCAGTATGTTTGTGTAACGGAATTAAAGTTTTCAAAACACCCCTTGAGGTGCTCTGTGGATTTGGTCAATCTTGGAGCTGCATCTATGTTTTTTGCGAATCTAGAGTTCTCAGAGCTGGGACATCTGGCTGAAAATTTTGGGAGCATGGCTGTTTCTTAGATCTGGAGTTGCGTGAAGCTCTGCCAAACACCCTCAAAATTTCTTCGGACTTTAATTTCCCTACTCCCATGTCCTACGCCAGCAACACAATAGCTCACTCACCGCTAGGCCACACACACTATCGTTGCTCTAACTTTGTGATATGTTGTACTTCTTCCATTCTAAATTATAAGTTGTTTTGTTTTTTCTAGATAAATAGCTTTTTATGCACCAAAATATAAATGATGTCTCTCCAAATTGTAAATTGTTCTAATCTTTTTAGGTACATAGTTTTTGATATGCACTTAAATATAGATTATGTTTTGATACATAATAAAAGTTATGTGTCTGAAACAGGCAGAACGACATATAATTTGGGAAAACGAAAGTATTTGTTTAGTGCTACGTACAATGTCACGCATCATGGATTGATGAATGTCTCTAGTGAAAAATGATGCATAACTTTTTTTAAACCCAATTCAAATTTCTTCTAATAGTTTCAATTTTTCGTAACTTTGTGATATCTTTTTATACCAGTATATTGAAAAGTGAAACCCAACGTGGGGAAGGCACTGGCACAGCCATTATGATAAAAACGAAGGAACCAGTGGCTGCACGGATCGAAACGGCACCACTTCCCTGCCCTCGACTGCATGCCAACATACTCACTACTCGTAGTAGTAGTACGTAGGATATCTGGATGCTGATTGCAAGAGGACAAGGCAACGCGTCCAAGGCGAAGGACACCGCCATGCATCGCCCAAGGACCAAGGACTTGGGCATGATGATGACACACGTGCACGCCGCATCCCGGCCCGTCCACTCGGCATGCTTCTGGCTTTTTGTGGCCCGGCCCGTCCACTCGGCGTCGGCGGGGCCCCGGCCCGCCCACTCGGCGCGAGACAGACAATACCAGTGTACCACCTCTGCGCGGTACCGTCCGGCGTCCGAGCGCGGAGCGCGTCGATCCAGGGGCCTGCAGCCTGCTGCTGCCTGTTGTGTCTGCGACTACGAGGCGCACGGTCCGGTACGACGACATGGCCGCGCCCTGCGTGGATCTGTACGGCGTCCGGACTCCGGACCCGGAGGCATCAGCGCTCAAAATCGGCCGCTCTGGTTGACATTTATGCCTCGTTGCCAAGTTGCTACTACTAGTACTAGTACTGTGCAGTCTCACTGCCCATCTGAGGAGATCTGATTCTTTTTTCACTCTTTCCATCACATCTGACTTTAAGACGTCATGTCGTAGCAAATGTAGATAAAAAAAATAATTAATTACATAGTTTCGAAATTACGGGCTGGCCTAGCATTTCAGTCGGCAATTGTTATGAAAAGTCACAAGAGAAAATATCGATTCCTAACGCTATCAACAAGGATCTTTTGCTCTGACGCTGCATAGCATCTCACAGTTTCGAAAACGGTTAGCATTTCAGTCGGCATAATGAAACAAGAGACCTGTGACACCGGGTTTTGCTCTACGACGGGCGCCGCCGTTGCAGCTCCCCAATTCGTGGGGAAATTTATCTGGAGTACTGTACGTACGTACGTACGTACGTACGAGAGACACTTGCAGCAGAGCTCTTTCGGCCGATAGGCTCTCGTCAGCCGCCTCCCTGCATTGTTCGCTGGACCGGGCCCGTACTGCCCCCAACCCTACGCTTTTTCAGAGAGAACCTTTCGGGAGTTACACCACTGCTGTACTGCGCCGTCTGCTTCGTGCTTCGGACCACAACCCACAGAGCACCCAGCCCAAGTTCCTTTCGTTCGTCAGGTAAGGCTGCACCTGCAACAGAGCCTCTAACGTTTTTTCCTCCTCTTTTCATTTCCCCCAGATTTTCGTATGCCCCGTAACGTTCTGTCCACGGGAACAAAGCCTGTAACGCAAGAATCGCAACGTCCCTCTCCGTGAACTGTACAGTACGCGGGCGCGGCCGGTTAAACACGCCACCGTTCCGCTCCTCGCCGTTAAGATTTCGAATTTGAAACCCCATCAGCTGGCTGGCTGGGCACCCAACGGCGCGCCAACCGTCCGATCCGCCGCACGACACGTGTCAAGCGGAGACCCGCGGGGGGCTATCTGGTAAATCCGCGTGCCGCGTGCCAGGCGCCGAAGCTTCCTCCCGTTACGTTCCGTCTGTGGACTGCACGCCGTTCCCACCGGCTATACCCCGTTGGCCGCCGGGGGGAACCCCGCGGGCGCGCCCAGCGAGCGTACCGGCCGCGGCAGGTGGGGCCGGCCGCACGAGACCGGCACCGCGCGGGCGCATCCCGTCCGTCTCCCAAGTCCAACGGCCAGATCCGGCTAACGGCGCCGTCAGGGAGGGCCGATCCTGGCCGTCGGATCCGGATCTCTTCCCCGCGGCCGCGGCATCTTATATTTGTACGCGCACGCGAGCGCCCGACGGGTGTGTGTGTGTGTGATTGTGATAGAATCCAAAGCGCAAGCGGCTGCAGGCAGCGCCGCGCAGGCGTGGGGGTGGGAGAGAAAAAGAGGAACCGGCCAAGAGAAGCAAGCGAGAGGGGCAGGGCTGCGGCTGCGGCGGCGTTGGCGTTCCGTCAGATGGGGAAGTACATGCGCAGCAAGTGCAGGGGGGCCGCGGGCGAGGAGGTCGCCGCCGTCGAGGTCACGCAGGTCGTCGGCGTCCGGACGAGGTCCAAGTCCGCGGCGGCGACCGGCGGTGGTGTCGCGAAGGTAGCCCCGAGGAGGAAGAAGGCGCTGACGCCCGCGAACGTGACGGCGGGGGAGCCTGCTGCCGTGGGCGCTGGTGGGGACGGCGGAAGCTGCTACATCCACCTGCGCAGCCGCATGCTGTTCATGGCACCGCCTCAGCCTCAGCCGCAGCCGTTGGTTCCGACGCCGGCGGAGGCTGTTGCTGCAGGACAGCAGGGCGCGGCGCTCGCGGCTGGGCTCTCGCGTTGCTCCAGCACAGCGTCGTCGGTGGACGTGGGGGGCCAGAACAGGAGCCACGCCTGCCGCTCCGACGCTGCGGAGGTGAGAGAGCGGAAACCCTAGAATTATTCGAATTCGAAAATTGCCCGGGATCTCCGGCGCCTCCCGTTACTGAATTTCGCGAGATCTCCGGCGCCTCCCGTTGCTGAATTTCGTGGCTTTCTTTGGTTTTGGGGCTCTATCTAACAGGTTGGCGGGGATCACGCCCCGGATGTCTCGGCGAGCAACTCGGGGAGCGGCCCAGACCGCGAGAGGTTGGAGAATTCTCCCTTGTTTCTCGCAAATCCTGCTGAATTATGCCTTCCGCCGTGCTCCTGACGTCGTTCCGGTCGTGAATTTTGCAAAATTCAGGAGAGAGACGACGCCATCGAGCCGGGCGCACGGCGAGCTCAGCGATCTGGAGTCGGATCTGGCGGGGCAAAAGACTGGCCGGTCGTTGCCGGCGGCTACGTCGGCTGCGGTGCCGATCGTGCCACCAGCACAAGAGATCGAGGAGTTCTTGGCGGCCGCCGAGGCGGGCCAGGCCAAGCGCTTCGCTTCCAAGTAAGACTCCTCGCCAAGCTACCGGCGCAGCCTGAAATTTTTTTTACCGCGTGCTCTCGCGTAGCATGCAGGAATTACCGTTTTACTCTTACCGCACGCAAATTTCTTCTCCTTCGTGTTTTCGTGGCTTACCGCGGCCGGCGTGCTGAATTGCGTCCCTGACGTGCGTGCTTTGCGATCTACCTTGTTGCCGCCACAGGTACAACTTCGACTTCGTCCACGGCGTGCCCCTCGACGCCGGCCGGTTCGAGTGGACGCCGGTGGTCAGCATCTGAAGCGAGCGTGCGACGATGCAAGGTGAAGCTAGAAAGATATGCGAAAAAAAAGATGCCCCAAAAAAACATAACGGAAAGGAGAAACCAAAGAAGAAGCTTTATAGCCTAGCTAACCACCATTCAACTGTGTTCGTTCATCTGCCTTGCTGCTTTTCTCTAGAGTAGCTTGTAGAATCTCAGCGTAGTTATTCACTATTTATTCAGAGGTTATCTTGACCCCAATAGATCATCATCCGCTCCGCTTACTGTAATTTCTCTCCTGTATCTTAGATGGAATTTTAATTTACTGTACAGCAGCTAGCTGGCTTTGCAAAAAAAATCTGATTTATCTATCCGAGTTTAACCACCGCATGCAGTTATTTGGATATTCTCTCCTGTTGCTGGTCCTGAAATCCTCTGATCCTTCTGCATCACGCTACTTCTTCCATCCATCTGGATCTGGTACTTCGTTTCGTATCAACCTCCCCGTACATACATCAAAGTGAAAATTTTACCATACGTCTTGGATTTTATTTTTGGCCCATAATACGTCTTGGAATTCTACCTACAATTTTCGTAGATACACAAATTCTACACCCGGACCTCTAGGTAGATCGAGATATCGAGGTAGCGGCAGAAACCATGGTGACGTACACCGCACGAACTCGGCGAGGTTAATTAACGCCTTGTTGACCCCAAAGTCCAAAAAGTTCTTCTGACCGCATACATCGAATGCTTCAATGTTTGCGGTAATGTCGTGGGCGTTAAATGTAGATTTAAAATAAAAAACTAATTGCACAGTTTGGTGGGAAATTACGAGACGAACGTTTTGAGCCTAATTAGTCCATGTTTGAACACTATTTGACAAATAAAAACGAACGTGCTACAGTAGCCCCAAAATCCAAATTCACCCAACTAAACGAGGGCTAATTTTATCCCGGCGGATGTGATGTTCTGATTCGACGTAGGAGTAGTACTAGGCAGCATAATCCGTCCATGCATCTATCGATCACTGTATCCCAGGACAGGCAAACTGCAGTGGAGGCTTCTATGGCGTGCCGTGGAAAGAAGGTGATTACGACGACGGGGGGGCCCAGCGCCCGGCCCCTCGCTCTGGCTCTCGCCGAGGCGGATCATCTCTGCCTGCCACCATCAGTCCAGTTAAAAAGGGTGGTTAAGCAGTAAAGTTCGATTAAAGTAAGCCGTAAACTATGATTAGCGTGGTGGCTGGTGGCTGCCGTAATTAAACTAGTGTTGGTACACATGTTACCCGGAGGTGGAGACGAGAATTGGGATGCATGGCTTGGGATAATGGGATCATGCATGTGAGCACATGGATAGGGTAGGCAGGGTGTGGCAGCAAGTGGGGGATGAGGTGGTGGATGGTGCAGCTGATGAGCGAGGAATGTTACTGCCATCGGGATCTGGGCCGCTCAGTACGTTGGTGAAAACTAGGCAGGCCAGGCCAGAGAAGCTGGCAGTGGCAGAGGAGGGACGGCGATTCGGTGCCACTGCGTTGCGTCCGTCGCCCACTGCCGCTTGTTGGCTTTGCACTGAAAGGGATCGGCGTTTTTTAATGCTGGTCCACTGTTACCTGTGACCCTTAGCTTTCTGCCCATGGGCTCGCTGTTTTTTCGGCCGGTTCCTAGTCTAGCCCAATATGGAAAATATTCACTCCGCTGGTTCTTGCGCATCCACCTGTGTCGTCGTCCAAATTTAAACCGTATGCTAGTACCATCTCATGTCAGAATGCTCTTCCCAAACATCTAAAAAATAATCAACAAAAAAATATAAAAAATCAACAAAAAAAGTGAAGATCATGCAAAGTTTTTTTTCCCGTCAATGTTATGCGAAGTGCCCAGATGAAACATTAAAGGCCAAAATAACAGTGCAAAGACGAGCAATTAGAAACTCTATCATAGCCGGAGCTACTATGCTAGCAGTAGAATAGTGTTAAGCAGACGTGGAGGAAAGAGTGTGGTTGATGATTGGAGTGCATGCTGGGAGATGGGCGCCATGATCTAGCAGTTGAGAGGAGCACGTCACGTTCGAGCGTATTGATGGCTAATAAACAAGTACTCCCTCCGCCCCAAAATAGACGTCATTCTCGTTCCCAAGAAGTCAAACACTTTTAACTTTAACCAAATATATATAAAAAATTATTAATATTTATAATACATAATTAGTATCACTAAATAAATCGTTGAATATACTTTTATAATAAATTATTTGAAGATATAAATATTGCACGTATTTTCTATAAATCTAGTCAAAGTTGAGAAAGTTTAACCTGCACGCACCTCGTAACGATTTCTATTTGAGACCGAGGGAGTAGGTGTAAGATCCGTGGATGGTGGGGAGATATTGGGAACCCGGGCGGCAAGTGCTTCCTCCCCCATCGATCGATCAACCAGCTGGGAGCGCATCATCAGCCAGCAGCCGGGTGGGGGAACGACTAGCGAGGGCCTTAAAACTGGCGACAAGTGTATGATATTCAGGGGTAAGTACGCTTTGTGAAGCGTGGCTGGCATTGGACTCTGCGCCGATCGAGGAAGGTGAGGATCCCGAGGCCGGTAACATTCCGCGAAAAACATCAAGTGGTGGCACTGAAACTCTGGTCCTTTCGGGTCCCCTAGCGTGACTAGGGTCTAGTTTAGATTGTAAGTTTTTTTACTCTCTCTCTATTACATTAAATCTTTGGATATATGCATGGAGTATTAAATGTAGATAAAAAAATAACTAATTACACAGTTTAATTGTAAATTACGAGACGAATCTTTTAAGCCTAGTTAGGTCATGATTGGACAATAATTATCAAATATAAACGAAAGTACTACAGTGTTAGATACTGATTCCTAACCCTAATCTAAACAAGGCTGTCCGGTAGTGGCAGGGTTCATTCCTGTCACCTGTCTGACTGGCTCTGCTCTGCTGTTTCGGCCTGCCAAGATCTGTTCTGCAGCTCCCATCTAGAAGAAGACTTTTTCAGAGGATGCTGAGTTCAGAGAGAGCCTGCTGCCTGGAGTAAATTCGAAAAGGAGAGCCTGCTTAGTGCTGTGACAGTGGAACGATCCTGCAAGGAAGGGAATGGCAGAGTTTACGGCAGAGATGGCGTCAGTTAAACGGCCAAATGTTGGCCATCAATTCGACGGATCGGCATAATGATCTGCTGGTGCTAGGGTACGGATCCTGTATTAAGTGCGATGTCGGCAAATTCTGATGGAGTAGAGCGGGTGGGGGAGGAGGACTACAGGTTTGTATATATGATTTGATCGGTTTCAGGTAAGCGACAGTCAAATCGACCAATCAATAATGCAGAGCGGGTGGGGGAGGAGGAGTACAGGCAAAGGACGATTTATTTCTGCGCCATCAAGCTGCTACCATATATAGCTGGTAGCTGCGAGGTGTGAGCCAACCACAAGTTCGTTTAGCACCATGTCAGGGGTACTTCCTGTGTACCATGTCAGGGGTACTTCCTGTGTACGTACGAGCCGCACATTTTCGAACTTATCAGCCGTACCATTTCAGTCGTACTATTTTAGCAAAATAATAATATTTTTCTCTCACAATAAATCAGCATCAGCATCAGCATCGGTCGTTTTTTTAACCGGGCCTTTGTAATTTTTCTGTTGTCCCTCGCATTCACATCGATCTCTGCTCTGCATGCAACTTGCGTAGCAGTAGCTACTACTACACGAACGGATTGGATTTGTAATTACGGAGCGGATAGTATTTGTGTACAATCCGTATATGCTCACGCCTCGCGTGATGATCGGCTTTGGATCCGATAAGGACATTTAGGACGGGGTTTAATTATTCTCTCAAACTGATTTTTTTTTCTGCTGGGTACCTTTTCTTTGTGCGTTTTTTCCTTTCTTTTTTTATATATCTATATCTATACCTAATAATAAAGAGGCAAAATTTCTAGCCATCTTTTTTTGTCCATTCTTTTTTTTTGTCCACCTCTCCATAACTACCGGTAGTCGACAGTTTCTTTCGTGTAGACTTATATATATAACCCGTGCTTATACGAATTCGAATAGCTCTTGTCTAGCGCGATACGGAGTCCGATTCCAAAACGTATTGGGTTGTGTATGGTCTATGTTTAACCAAAGAATCCATACTCATGCGAAAAAAAAAAAATCCATACCCAATACGATTACTATATATAGTAAATTCGGTTTTTTTTCTTTTCCTATACCGTTATCTGTTCGGCATTTTCCATTGTTTTAGACTATCTCAGATCAGTACTGTATCCAATCCGTTTTTCATTTTCGCATTTGTTCCACCTCTTTTCCAGATTTCCTCTTTTTGTCTTTTCTTCTCCTTTTTTTCTTTTTTTCTTTTCTTGACTATCAGGTCTGTTTCATGTCCTTTCCCTTATTATTTTGCAAGTCATTTTTGTTTTCCCAATTCTCTTATGATTTTTCTTATAAACAGAAAAATAAATAATAAACACAATATATATTATGGATCTTTGGATCCTTCATCCTTCCCTAATCCTTATTAATCAAATATTCCTACTACTAAATTATTGATGTAATTTGATTAACCCAATACGATTACTATATATAGTAAATTCAGTTTTTTTCCATTTCCTATGCCGTCATCTGTTCGGCACTTTCCGTTGTTTTAGACTATCTCCGATCAGTACTGTATTCGATCCGTTTTTCATTTTCGTATTCGTTCCACTTCTTTTCTTGATTTCCTCTTTTTGTCTTTTCTTCTCCTTTTTCTCTTTTTTTTCTTTTCTGGACTATCAGGCCCGTTTCATGTCCTTTCCCTTATTATTTTGCAAGTCATTTTTGTTTTCCAGATTCTCTCATGATTTTTCTTATAAACATAAAAATAAATAATAAACACAATATATATTATGGATCTTTGGATCCTTCTTCCTTCCCTAATCCTTAATAATCAAATATTCCTACTACTAAATTATTGATGTAATTTGATTAAGAATAAAAATTATTCTTATTATAACCTAGATCAGCTAATGGTCTAATTAATTAAATCATGAATAG